GGGCTTAATCCAGTCTGTGGGGCCCACCCTGCACCATTCATCTAGCCTGTGGACCACTACTACTTTGGTCTGTGGGCCCACATGAGTTTGATAACCCTGTTGCAGGTCATAGTCAAAGATTTGTTTTGAATAACACTGGGCTGAATTAGAAAAATTAAAAAGCACTAGGGTAGACATCTGCACTTGGATTTATACTATTTTAGCTGTACCCTGGCTCCAGAAACTGCTAGCAAAAAAACCATATTCTGTTGCATAAGAGGAGGGTGGGCAAGCTGCTCCATTATGTATTGCTGCTATACTGAACATGAATTCCCCTGGCCTCCAGGGCTAAGGAGTTACACATAAACCAGTTTAAGTCATCAGAAACTGGTTTAAACCTGTAACAGAACAGAAGTTCAGTGTACATAAACCAGTTTCAAAAGGTCTGAAACTGGTTTAAAGCAAACCTGGTTGAATATAGTATCAGATTTAACTGATTTGGATCAAACCAGTTTGTGAAACTTCCTGGTTCAAGTTAAATCAGAATCCCGCAGCAACCTAGCACGCTTTGCAGCCCTGGGCTAGCCTGTGGCGCACACACACACACACTTCCCCGCCCTCCCCCCTCCCCAAGGGAAACCCTGGCTGGGGGCTGGGGCCAGGGAGGGATTAAACCTCCTTTCTCCCAAGTACGGAGCTGTCCTACCCTGCTAAACTTACTGCTGGCTGTGACTATGGACTACAAATCCCAGAGGTACCTGGAAGCAGGAAGAGGAAGTAGTGAGCAACCCTTTAGAGTCCTCCTGCTGTGATTCTGGACTGCAAATCCCAGAGACCTCAGGGGCACAGCAGGAAGAGGAAGCAAGTATAGCCCATGCTGGCTATGTGCCACAGAGCCATGCTCTAGCATCCCCTGACTCCTGGCCTGAGTCACTGCAGGCATGTAGCTGCAAAAAATAAATGTCTGTTCACTTGTTAGCATGAATGATGCATGCTCCTGGTGGCTGGAGGGGCACGGCAGCAGCGGGAGTGGGGTGGTGGCAGCAGGAGTGTGGTGGTGGTAACTGGGGAGCACCCACAGATGCCACCAGCTCGGGGGGGCGGGGGGGGAGGTGAGCACTGACCAGGGGCAAGGAGGAGGGAGGTGGTGAGCAGCAACCACCCACAGGCGACACTGACAGTGTCAATGGCGCCTTTTTGTAGGGGGTGCACTGCCACGCTCAGGGGTTGCATGTGCACCCCACCCACATTCCTGGTGCTTATTAGTCAGTTTAATCTCTGCAGTTTAGAGTAACCTGCAAAGACTAAATCGATTCAGCCTTGGGTTTTTTGACTGTCTATACTTAGCCAGGAAGCAGGTCTATACCACTTCCACAGTGCTCCTCCAAGCACTGCCAGGCAGTGTGCACCAACAACCAGCTTCTGCTCTACGTGGCCAAAACTTCTGCAGTCTTCCTCAGGGTGTCCTCTGCTGCCACTCTCAAGCATGCTTAGGCAGAGTTCTCAAAGACAGTGGCAGGAGACACCCTCAGAGCAGCTTCACTGCGTCACATCCGTACTCTGGCATGTGTACAGCAAGGGTGAGCAGGCAAGGTTATACTTTGTGGTGATGGTCTTGGAAGCACCATGATAATAATATGGACATGACCTCAGAGACAGGGAGAACAAGTGAGCACAATCACTGGACAAATGGATTGCTCATATTTCATCATGGATGGGAGATAGGAAAGTATTTAATTATGATGGTCCAAATTGCTCCAGATAGACTCTACAACCATCAACTTCTTCCCCAGTGATCTTTCTGCATTCTGGCTGACTTTTTATTCAACCCATAACTGAAACTCCCTTTTATTTTTTCAGTACAAATTTCACCCAGTACCAGTAATCAACTTTCCCCTTCACTCCCTCTCTCCCTTTATCCTACCAAACCTACAATTGGGCAGGTTGCCAGCATTCTCCAAGGTATCACCCACCTACACATACCCATTTCTAAACTGAAATTGCCATAGGTCCATACCAATAGCATGATGAAAACATGGGGGTTTTTGTTGGTTTTTTTTAACCATCTTAGAACTGCTTTCCCACACTAGGCATAATCAGAATGAAGTAATTATTGTGGTAAATGTTGCTGGACTGCTGTAGGTATATTCAAGTTATGCAGAAACAAGTGCATAGCTTCACTTTTTAAAGCTTCACTTTATTATAAATAGGGTTGGGAACCGGTCAATTGACCAATCAAATATTGTCAACAGACTGGTCAATTGACTGCATATTTTTGACCAGTCAAAGTTTATAGCAGTTTTAGGGGGAAAAACTACATTTTTTGTAGTTTTTGTGACAGAACTATGATTTTTTAAAATTGTTTTTTGACACATTTCTTAATGGAAAATTTGTACTGCGTATTATTTGGACCTATTGGCAATTTAAAAACATTTTTTTTTTTTTACTGATATTTGACTGGCCAACTGACCAAACTTTGTTTGTCCACTCAAACACCCAGCCCTAATTATAAATATCAAGTGCATTTAAAAAAGTGGTGACTGTATTCTACAGAACTGTACATTGTTTAGCATAAACAAAAACTAGAGTGAGGCAACTGGTGGTAAGTTGTAAACTGGACCACTTCTAGGAGACCTACAGTATGTTTACTGATAAGTGACTTCAAAATAGCCTCAAATGCTTAGAACTGTGAAATCAATTATACGGTCACTTGTCCACATATCAGTGATATGAAGCTATTACCCTTTCTATTCTTCTCAAATCATGCATGAATCTCTCCTAGGTAGCTTGGAGCAACCAAGAAAATGACTCACCTAGCAAAATGAATAAGTGTTTTCTGTGGAAGAAAGGGCAGATTAGGATTTTAGTGACTCGCTGAAGAGAAGGTACTGAATACAAACTGGACTAAATGCTTTTCCTATCCTATGAAATCGCTCTCTCAACAATTAATGTACAAATAATTAAATATCAATAGGAGATGACTTTCACTAGAGTCTTTCACATTTCAGGTGAGTGCCCTGGTCACTGGACAACTGGCTAACAGGATGATTTGGGATGAGGGCTAACAGAAACCCTCATCCCAAATTAGCTAATACCCAGTGGTCTGGGTTGTGTGTAGGACAACAAAGTCCCTGCCTTAATTAATATCTAATTATTTGCATCAAATGAACAGTTCCAACAGAAGGAATTGAAAGAAACCCATGCCAAACCAGCCAATAGTTGACCACCATGGCACTCACCTGAGCCAAGTTTCTGGTCTCTGCTCTGAATAAGTTAGACCAGATCAGCAACTTGAAGTTCAGTCACCCATATTACAGACAAGAGCTCTAATTACTGGCTGTTTGGGGGAGGGCTGCTTTTTGTATGTAGACCAGATTCCCCTGAAAAACCCCAAAACTCCAAATTCAACACATCTTCAGACTGGTAGACTTCTGTCTCCCAATGAATTCACTGAAAACAGTACAAAATACATGTCTGCAAGAGGCCCAAATGTCTGCCAAAAGAGATAAGGGTTACTGGTCAGTTAGCCAGTGTGTGTGTAATTGCTGAGGCATGCAATAGTGTCCTCAGTGGCCATGTTCCTGTAGACTACCACTGAACTTAGTCATCAGGCAGTCAATTGGCAACATGCAACATGGTGTGTGTTTTACCACAGCTATAGTCTGGATTCTCGTGAAGACCCCACTGGTGGAGGTTGGCTGCACATAGACTTTGCCTTGTCTGGAACCTATTCAGCAAGGCCCACCAACAGCATGGCAGGTTAAAGTCAGGTGGGCAGACTGTAGAATCTATGGTAAGGAACTTGTTTGGTGGTAATGTTGACCTCCATTCCTCATACCAGAGGGTCTCTGCTGTGCAGTCTGGGTGCAGCAGTTTGGACTACAGTGGGTGTTGTGATGATAGACATGCAGCAGGTGGATTTAAAAGAGAGTCGTGCAGGCTTGGATTGGCATAGATCTTCTCCAGTAGCTTGCTTGTTGCAACTTCCTAGTGGATATAAGGGGGAACAATGTTGCTCAGGACTGGGAGCCATGGTCAAGGAATCAATCAAAGAGTTCCCAAAATGATGCACATCATTGAATGTAACTGCACATCAACG